CAGCACCACCACCGCCCGCCGCCGGGGGGCCCCCAGGTGAGCGCCCTCCCCCCACGCCGGGACTCCTGGACTTGGGGTCGTGGGTGACCCGGTCGCTCCTCAGGAATGATGGCGGGCAGAGAGGCGAATTGTGGGGCCCCAAGGCCACTTGGTGGCATGGCCACCGTAGTGTCCTGGCTTTTCCCTGGCCACCCGCACCTTAGGCCATGCCCATGCGGGGCCTTCGAGATGTGCCTGCGTGTAGGACTCCGCCTCGGAGTGGCCCACCACCCCGGTGGATGTGGGAGAGAGGTGCTGCCCTCCCTCCCCCTGGGTTACTGGAAGATGCCAGGCCTCTGGAACAATCCTGAGTCTGCTGCATGTCTGGCCGGTGGAGGTGTGGGGAACTGGGGAGGGGGGTTGGTGCTGGTCTGGACAGTGGGCGCTGGCATGAAGCGAGGAGGAGCCTGCCAAGGCCCCCCGAGGATCTGACGCAGCAGCCGGCGCCACTAAGCCGGCAGCAGGCCTGCCGGGTGGGGTGGGGGTGGGGGTGAGGGTACTGCAGGAACTGTTGGGAGCGGATGGGGTGGCAAGTGGGAATGTGTGATCCAAAGGTCATACATCCGGGAGTGCGAGCTTGGCAGTGGCCAGGTGGTTCAGGACATGGGATATTCTGTGAGACAAGAATGGGTGTAAACTGGGCGTGTGTGCCAAGGTGGGCAGCTGGAGGGAATGTGTAAAAGCCAGAACCTCTGCCCCACACTGGACAGCGGGAGGACGGGTCCAAGCTTCAGGATGAAGCATAAACAGGCTCGACTGCTGGGTAACAGCAGCCACCACAGCTGCCTCCAGCCCTGACCTCTCGTGGTCTTCTAGGTGCCCCCAGCCCTGCCTCAAGAAGGGAATGGGCTCAGTGCCCGTGTGGATGAAGGTGTGGAGGAATTCTTCTCCAAAAGGTTGATCCAGCAGGATTCCCTGTGAGTGAGGGGCAGTTACCAGAGGGCAGGGGAGGGAGGGATGCCAGTGGACTGCCGTACTCACTGATGATCATCCCCACAGCTGGGCCCCTGAGGAAGACCCAGCCACTGAAGGGGGTGCCACTCCTGTTCCCCGAACACTTCGCAAGAAGCTGGGCACCCTTTTTGCCTTTAAGAAGCCTCGTTCAACAAGGGGTCCACGACCTGATCTAGAGACCAGCCCTGGGGCAGCTGCTCGTGCCAGAAAAACCACACTCGGGGACTTGCTGCGGCCACCACCCCGTCCTGGCCGTGGTGATGAGTCTGGAGGAGCCGAGGGGGGCACCAGCAGTCCTGACCCCGCCCGTAGGAGCCGGCCCCGCTACACACGAGAAAGCAAGGCCTATTCCATGATTCTACTGCCTGCTGAAGAGGAAGCAGCAACACTGGGTGCCAGACCTGACAGGGTGAGGCTGGCACTAGAGTGTGGGCTTTTCTGGATCAGAAGGCAGTGGGCTTTCTCCTGATTTAAGCATCTCTGTCCCCAGCGGCGGCCCCTCGAGCGAGGAGACACAGAACTGGCCCCATCCTTCGAACAGCGGGTACAAGTGATGCTGCAGAGGATCGGTGTAAGCCGGGGCAGCGGGGGCACCGAAGGCAAGAGGAAGCAAGTGAGTTGGGGAGTAAGCGTGAAGCGAGGGGGCAGGTGGCATGTGGGTGACATCTGTGACCAGGATGGAGGAGACTCATGACATAAATAGATGTAATTGTCAGTTCCACTCTTCTCTGAAAAACAGTGATTGAACTTTCTTCCCTTTCAGCTTCTGCCCTGACCTAGGTCACTGGCACTTCTTACTAGAAGGGTGCTTCTCTGGGAAAGAACTTTCTCTGCATACGTAACAGAAATCTCACCTTGTCATCTGTATTTGAAACAGCAAGTCCTCCGGGAGCTTCCTTTGGAGACTGTCTAGGCTCCTAACCCTGCTCCAAGGTCCTAATTGGCTTTGGTTCCAGTCACCTTGGACCTTACTGCTCTTCTTTCATGGGGCCTTGCCTGCAGTGTTATGGGTTATACCAGCTTCCTGCTCAGCCATCCCTGCAGTGCTTCCTGAGCCTTCCTTGACTCTCTTCTATAACTGCCCTGTTAAGGTCACTATTAAGACACACAGCCCTAGCTGGCGGAGCTGGTGCCTCATGTATGTAATCCTGGCTACTCAGGAAGCTGAGATTGGAGGATCATGGTTTGAAGCTAGTCTACGCAGATGAATCCCCAAGACTCGAATCTCCAAGTAGCTAGCAAAAAGCCAGAAGTGGAGATGTGCCTCAAGTGGTAGAAATGTCAGCCTTGGGCAAAAAAGCTAATCAAAAAAGCACAAGGCCCAGTGCTAGTACAAAACCAGTAGAGCCTTATGTACCATCCACTTAATTGCTTTTCATGTCTGGGTGCTGATGGCTCACTCCTGTAATCCTAGATATTCAGGAGGCTGAGATCTGAGGGTCGAATGCAGTTTGAAGCCAGCCCAGGCACAGAAATCATAAGACTGTTATCTCCAATTAAACACCAGAAAGGGGCTAGGAAGTTGGCTCAGTGGTAGAGTACTTGCCTAGCGTGCATGAGGCCCTGAATTCAATTCCTCAGCACCACATAAGCAGAAAAAACCTGAAGTGGCACTGTGGCTCAAGTGGTAGAGCGCTAGCCTTGAGCTAAAGAGTTGCGAGACAGAGCCCAGGCCCAGAGTTCAGGCCCCATGACCGAAGAACAACAAAAACAAAAAAACCCCACCAGAATTGGTGCTGTGGCTCAAAGGGAAAAAACTCAGTGACAGCACCAAGACCCTGAGTTCAAGCCCCACCACCAATCAAAAAAACAGTTTTTCATGAAGAATATATATGAAATACAGCGCAGCCTGAATTTAGAAACAAATGGGAGCTGGGAAGGTGGTTCAGTGGTAGAGTACTTGCCTTGCATGCATGAGGCACCACATAAAGCGGTAAAGGCCGGAAGTGGCACTGTGGCTCAAGTGATAGAGTAATAGCCTTGAGCTGAAGAGCTGAGGTACAGCGCCCAGGCCCAGAGTTCAAGCCCCACACCGACCAAAAAAAAAAAAAAGAAAGAAAGGAAAGAAAGAAAGAGAAAATTACATGACAGAATTAAGAAATATTATCTAGACAAGTACTACAGGTAGTAATGAACCTGTACTACCAGCTCTTAAGAGGCTGGGCAAGATTACAAGTTTAAGGCCATCCTGAGATATAAGACTGTTTCAAACAAAAATCCCAGAACCAAAGAGGTCACTTCCTGTATTTACAAACATATACTCATATTTCTGTGTGCCAGCTGCTTGCCATTCCAGACTTTTGAGATTTGGGAGTAAGAACTAGGTTTGCCTTAGTTTTTCTCAGCATGTGTAGCTGTGTTGTAAGAACAATAGCTATGCTGAGTGCAGTGGCTGATGCCTATAGTCATAGCTACTTGGGATGCAAAGATGGGAGGATCAAATTTTGGGGCCAGACTAGGCATAAAAAAAATGGAGACTGGGCTAGGAAGATGGCTCAGTGGTAGAGCGCTTGCCTTGCATGCCTGAGGCCCTGGGTTCGATTCCTCAGCACCACCTAAGCAAAAAGAAAAAAGCCAGAAGTGGCGCTGTGGCTCAAGTGGTAGAGCACTAGCCTTGAGCTGAAGAGCTGAGGGACAGCGCCCAGGCCCAGA